CCAAGAAGGGAAACGCACAGGGCCTTCTTCCGTTCGAACAATCCAAGGGAACTGCTCGCCATAGCCTTGTTATCTTGCGCCGAACGCAGGTATCGTTTTCGCAGTTATATGATGATCAATCCCGCCGGGTTATGTACCGTACTAAGCTATTAGGTGCAGATTCAGAGCATACCACGAACCGTTATGATCTGTTCTTAGTAGCGCACTGCTATTGCGTATCGCTACCAACATCATCTCCGATGCCTCTATTGAGCATTGCGGATATGGCGCAACGTCAAGCACAACACGTCCGTGTTCCAATGCCGCTTCGATAAGGAAATGACTTCAATGCTCTCATGGCCCCACTCGAATCATACACTTAACCACCGCCACAACGTGCCGAATTGATGCGGCTCAAATGGGACCTCTATCACACACAAGCTGGCTAAATACGACTCACCGTCACCTCGTTTCAAACCTCATCCGCTTCATTAACGTTATCTTTGTTGCAACATATTGTACTGTCATATGGTAGCACAGCAGGCATCAAGGTAGTACAGCTTTCGTGTACGGCGAGAACATTTCCCCAGCTCTTACTTTGATACTCAAACGTTACGAGAGTTTACACCCTTGCAGCTGGCCGTTGCCTAGACACCAAACTCCTGAGACCGAAAAGCAAAAGTCACCCACTCGCCTTTACTCAACAATCGTCGATCTGATTACGATCTCGATCTTCTCCAAGAACAACTTCTTCCCATCGTGCTCGACCCATAGCGTGTGGCTATTTTGATGTTTGTGGGGGATTATTACGGGACGAGTACCCGGGCACGAGTTGCCATGCACATGAGATGATCGTCAAAATGCTGCAACAGCCGTTGAGAAATGCTACATCGCACAGCAGATGCGATCCTTCGCTACCTGCGAGGTCGGCAGTTGCTTGTTCGCACCGGCTATTAATGTGTACGACAATGGCATAGGAAGCCCCTACTATGATACAACGGCGATATATGCGTGTGGCACAGAACATTTAATTCGAGAACATCAGCCAGCCGCCTCAACACAGACTTCATAATTCCTCGAATTTGACATCAATACGACGAATGAGACGTATAGGAGGGGACAATAGTATGTGAAGAAAGAAAGCATCAGAAGGCTTACGTTCCACAAAGCAAGCAAACAGACCTCACCCGTCCAAAGCTTCCAAAATGAGAGCTTCTCGAAGACGCATGGAAGCCTGAGGCGCAAAAGTAACAGCAGAATCGCACCAGCACTTCCGCCCACGCCACATCAGCCCCTGCGCAAAACCCCGAAAAAGCTTCCCAATTCTTAGCCAACATTCGCAACACCCATCTTTCTTTGCGACGGAAGTGCCTCCAGGTAGCCCTTGGAAGAATGGCAGCTAGAAGCCTCCTTCGACGTCTCTTCTAGCCTCGTCGGAGTTTAGGGGACCCTCCGCTCGCCAGCCAGGCTAAACCTACACCAAACCTGCGCCAAACTTAGACGCCAAAGGCAATGTCGTGCTTTGATCTATGGGCTAGTCTAGCCAACCTAACAACAAGCGCGTTCCCAGGTAAGCAAGCAAGGCGCAGGGTCCGTGACGATTTTGGGTTTGCCTACTTGGGATGCCGCTGCGAACTGCAAGTCACGTCTTATCGCATGCGTCTCGAGCGTGTAAGTTTGAACGGCGCATACCCGCGTCGAAATTTGGTATTGGTTTGGGGGAAAACAGGGTCCTTTGCCCCACCAGCTTGCGACCTGCAGGACACGCCGGTGAACTTGGCCACCACCAACTGCAAACTATAACACAGCCGCATATAGGGCGACCAACAATTATAGAACCTGAGACGCGCATTTTGCTGACGTGATGCCAACTTTTTTCTTGCTGCATTGTCAACATCAGGCGTTAGTGCTGTTCAAAGACGTTCAGACTGCTCGCGTGTGGAAACAGGATTTTTCTGCACGGTACCTTGTGTAACTTGTTTTTTACTCCTTCCTCAATCGGAATTTTTGCGGGGTGCCGTGCATGAGGCTTGCCGTCGACAAGAAACGGAGGTGCAGCAGGGAGGTGCCGAATCTGGGACCTAGAAGTACCGAGTACCAGTGATTTGAGTGTGTAATAATAGAGACTGTGGTATGGTAGAGTTGCGTTTGATTTAGAACTACGACTATCGTTACAGCATATTGTACATCGTGAGTTGCCGGCTTCGAAGAGGCGTCCAGGAGATACGCAAGCATGCAAGCGCCGCCCACTCCTCCACTTTGCATGTCAGGCAATCCGTACGGCAGATATCGTCGTGTTTAGAGTTTCGAGGGTGTGATGTCCTGCATGCTCAGGCAGTCTGGCCACCCAGAAACCACATCATGCAGTGGACATCGCCGTTAGGATTGAAGGGATCGATAGCCGACATTAGTTTCCTCTCTTACACACACAAACACCCACACCTGCATTCGGCAGTCGTCCGTTCGCTCCGTTCCGTTCTTTATCACACCCTCAATGTCACTCTGACGGTTTTCCCCACATTCCGATCGAGATCACAGAATCCTGTCTCTTCGCGTGGCTATGCTATTTTCATGACATCTCCTATGTGTTCTTTTTGCGTGGCGGCCTGACTCCCGTACCGTTTTACCGCCACCACCGCCACCAGACTATACTCCTTTCCTCCTATTCTGAATAGGACATGGCGAACTCGTACGGATTTCGCCGTCCTATCTTGCAACATAGCCAGCCAACGCTACCTTAGTTCAACGCCCAGCCTCTCCACAAGCATGCCTTTCATCCGCTCATGCAGCTCATTAGTCTCCTTGTTCGTGAGTGTGCGTTCCAAGCTGCGGTAGTTGAGGCGGTAGCACATGCTCTTGCGCCCAGTCTTTGGATGCACGAATTCATCCGTTAGGCGCACATCCTCCACAAGATCACCGCAGACCTCTCGCGCGATTTCCATCACATCGTTCTCGTGGAAGCTGGAGGATGATGGCGCCGGGGCTGCTGGTGGGATTGGCGTGCCAGATGGGGTTGTAGGAGCAGAGGATGGGGTGGGGGATGTCGTGGATGAACTGCCTCCTGCAAGCGGATGAATAGCTGCGGCGCCACCAGCGGCATTCGAGCTACTTTTCAACCAGAAACTCACGTCCTTGAAACATGCAGGGTGTTTGCTAAAAGGCTCGAATCGACGGATGGCTTTCTGCTCGCTGAACTGCGATAAGAAGCGAGAGTCCCTTGACCAAAACAGACGTATGTCCGGGATGGAGTAAAGCAACATGGCGATACGTTCGAGACCTATGCCAAAAGCCCACCCTATACGATTGGGAACCGAGGCATTGTTCAGGATGGGTTGTGACACGATGCCGCAGCCGAGCACTTCGAGCCAATCGCCTTGCCAAAAGACTTCCAGTTCCCAAGAAGGTGATGTGAAGGGGAAGTAGGCCTCCACCCAGCGTACCTTTAGTGGCTCGTCTGACGTGGCAGTATCTGCAGCACCCTTTGCAGCATTAAAGATCGTGACCACCATATCCTCAAGACTTCGTTTCAGGTGTGCAGCCATGGCTTCTGCTTCTTCTGCCGAATGTCCTGTTTGAAGTGGGTTACGCTCGGCGTGGAATGGAGGGTTTGGGTCTTCGACTGCAACATCGTGCTTGGGAATCTTCTCCACATCATCCCAGATGACCTGCGCAAGTGTCTTGCCTTCTTTTTCTGCTTGCTGACGGTCCCAAGTCCTGGCTCCCTCCATCTGATGGAAAACAGGATAGTGGCTTCTGTCGATGGCATCTCGTCGGTATACGTCAGCACTGATGAGATAGCCCTCGCTCTCATTGTTGCGGAAAGTATCGGCTTGATGAGCCGAGGTGTGTGTTCGTAGTACGGTTTCCTTGTTTATGTAGTACGTGTCCGTCCTGCTTCGACCTATGTGATCTAATGGAAAGCCGAGAGAATCGAAATTTTGACCGGTGGTGACAATAGGAAAAAGAGCGTTATGGGTCTTGTAACCCGGAAAGCGTGATTCGATGAGTTTTCGCGTGATGGTCAGAGGGTGATCTGGTTGCAGATGAAGGCGTCTTGGTATAGCGTCGAGAATAGTTGAGGGTGTGTTCATCCATTCATCGGTCTGATACGTTCGTCCTTCTATCTGCACTTCTTTCGGGAATGCTCCTATGAGAACTTAGATACCACACTCTGAAACTTCTTCGTCGTCCCAAGTACGCGGATTTGCAGCTCAACACCATCAAGACGATAGTGGAACAGAGGAATATTCCTCCTCTGCATCTTCTGAGACTCGCTCAACGCCGGAGTAGTACGGTCGCTGCGATATGGAAAGCCGCGAGCCGCGTCACATGACGGCAAACTCACCAGAAGAATTATATCTCACCGCTTGCCGCCACGACCAGGGCGACACTGAGCTCCGTGGTACTCGAAATAGGACATTTCGACCTAATTGACGGCAAAGCGCCGCAGAAGAAAGTGGTATTCGCATCTTTGATGATGAAATTCGCCGTTACCTTCGCGACCTCAAAACCACGCGGGCCGCCAAGCCCAGCCCGCCAGCTCCGAGCTTAAATCCGGAAGCAGCACGTTTTGCCGATGACGTCCGCGCGTGCCGAATTCTCGGTCCCTCAACTACCACCGAAGCTTTACGGGCTTCCTTACTTTTAAGGCTACAGCTTCCCTGTCCCTGCCAGCTACACATGCTGTTGCTGCGCGGACTTTCACCTTCAACATGGCGGACGTCAAGAAGCCCGTGAGCGTGCCTGAGCTACGGAAGAGCGAAGATGTGAAGCCTCTCAAGAAGACGCCAATACGCTATCCGTTCTGGTTTGGTGGAAGCGCAAGTTGTTTTGCGACTTTCTTTACACATCCTCTGGATCTTGGTAAGCTTTGTACCGCTTTGTGCGCAACACTGGGTAGTGGCTGATAGTTTGAGTAGTCAAGGTAGCTTTATCGACTGTCGCGTGCGCCAATCTGTGTATACTCATAAAATCAGGTCCGGTTACAAACACAAACGATATCTGGCGTTAAGTTGAACATGATGCAAATGTTCAAGCATGTTATAAAGACTGATGGCGCATTGGGACTGTACAAGGGCGTAAGTCGTCTTATCTATTCAATTCCAATTGGACCCGTCTAATGCAACGATAGATTTCCGCAGCCCAGCTCCGCCAAGGGACATATAGCATGACACGCTTCGGTGTCTACGAAGCCCTCAAAGACCGCATGACGACCGCCGACACGAAACCCTCGTTCCTCACGCTCGTAGGCATGGCTTCCATATCAGGATTCCTCGGAGGATTCGCCGGTAACCCAGGAGACATCTTGAACGTACGGATGCAGCACGATGCCGCACTACCGAAAGAAAAGCGGAGAGGATACAAGAACGCGATTGATGGGATAATACGAATGTCGCGGGAAGAAGGAGTAGCAAGTCTATGGAAAGGCGTCTGGCCCAACTCGTCAAGAGCTGTGCTCATGACAGTTGGACAATTGGCAACATACGACGGATTCAAGCGCGTGCTGCTGAATTACACGCCGCTGCAAGATAACCTCGCAACACACTTCTCAGCATCATTTTTGGCTGGATTTGTAGCTACAACGATATGCTCGCCGGTAGATGTCATCAAAACCAAAGTCATGAGCTCCAGTGAGAGTGTAGGACTAGTGAAGACTGTCACGGACACCATGAGAGCAGAAGGCTTCCGTTGGATGTTTAAGGGCTGGGTACCGAGCTTCATTCGCGTTGGCCCGCACACCGTGCTCACGTTCTTGTTTTTGGAGCAACATAAGAAGGTCTACAGGCAATTGAAAAAGTTGGAATAGACGAGGGGGGAATGCGAAAGACGCGCATCTGCTTTGTGCAATATTAGGTATGCGACGAGGCGAATGATACCACACGGGCGGGCGTTTGGCGCTGACAGCATTGCGCGGCGCGACATTATAGACTAGGCTTGAATGCGTCGGTCTGCTTGTACATACAAACGACCGATGTGAATGCACCATAGAAATATAAAAAAGTACACAACCCAGTACCAATATTTGTTGATACGCTATTATAGCTTCAAGCAATCTAGACACGCCAAACGCGACTTGACCATACGTCAGCTCCATCTAACCACTCCAGGCCTTGTATGCACCCAGATCGATCAGAAGTGTGTAGCATAGACGTTGGGGGGTCTGGAGAATTCATGCGAAAGGATCAGTAACACAGCCTTTGTCAGGCACATAAAGCATATGAGATGCACTTGAGTAAGATGCAACACTCTGCATGCTTCACAGGAAACAACACAACGTTTTAGACATAGTAGAACTGCTCTTACTAGCACATAGATGAAGATTAGGAAGCCTATCTGCTTCAGTACCTCACCTTCTATCATCTATCTCTCACCCAACAAAGTCATATCAAGCGTCCCCTCCATTCTCACACTGCATAGTCCACCATTCGCGACAGATCCTCTCCACAGCCAAGACCCCTGCATCCCCATCTACCTCCAACGAACGGGTGCCTGGCTGCATCTTCATGTCCGCGAAAACGCTCTCAGCCTCCTTTTGTTCTTTAACATACGTCGCACAAACCTCTTTCCTCTCATTCTGTATCTGAACCTGGGCTGGCTGCGACTGCTTCGTGAGGTTCAGTATCTTTCGTGCAAAGCTCTTGAGAAACGATCCACTGGTCTGTTCCTTACGAGTGTGATTCCTCTGATCATCCGTGCTAGACTCCCCGTGTTTAGTCGCCCATATATCCATAGCGACGTCCAGATCCATCTTAACCATGACAACAAGATTTTCGTCAGGAATCCGAAGCCTGCCGCCCTCTAAGTATTCATTGTATACTGTGTCATTCCAGAGGGCGCTAAGTCTTTCTTCGCCATCTGATGCTCGAAACTGTTGACAGGTAGCGTTGACATCAGTACTACGCTTCAGACACTCTATGTCTGACTTAAGCAGGGCTTTGCCTATTTCTTCAATGCCCGAGTGTTTTGGACCGATGATGTAGATGCGAGCTTCTTTGGGCTTGACGCCGGAGTACATCGATTGGTTGGACATCAGTATCTTGAGATCGGGAAGATTGCTTTGGCGAAGGGTGGAGTGCCGTGTGAAAGAGGCTAAGTATATATACATGTTGGATCGCGATTGCTTTGCCAAAGTTTGGCAAGCGAGCCGGACACCGGACTCAATGTTTGTCTGGAGTTGGACGTCTTTAATGGATACAGATGACCAGTCTCATGCGCTAGATATTGGGAGTGAGGTGCCAACGGCGACAATATGATGTACAACGAGGATAAAATCCGTGGGGATCAGATAGTGGCGCTGATCATATGAAGAGGGAGTACGGAAAACAACAAGAGTATGGAAACATGGTGTTCAGGATACCCGGTGGGCGATGCTGAGGCAAACATGGGCCTGGCAGAACTTGAGCTTGTGTGATCGCAAGATGTAGGCGCGATGGGAAGAAGCGATGACGATGGAAAAGCTATGATCAGCAAGGTCGAGATGGACAGTGAGACAAGTTCGAAAGGATGCGCAGTGTAATAAGATATATCAGCAAGGGAAATGTCGGATACGAAGATTGTGGAGCGGTCGTGAAGTGATGCAATTGTTTATTGAGACAACTGCCTTAAGCAGTCAGTGGTATGAGAAGCGCCTATTCCCTAGAATGCCCGAAGTTTTCATTCAGATACAGGAGCCCACACCGTTATTTTCGTGCCGACGCCAATGTAATCATTCCACGACCCAATCATGAACTCATGATAACGCTCTAGTGCTTCATGGAAGACGCCCTCCTCTTGCGGGCCTCCTCGTGTGCGGCCTTGGCGTCGTTGATGCGCTTGGAAAGGATCTGAGCGTACTCGTTCTGCAGTATCATTAGCCTCTGTGCATCTTGTAGTGAATGGTGTAAACGTACGGCAGCATCCTTGGAAGCCTCCGCGCGACGGCGCTTGAGTGCGAGCCTGTGGCGCTTGTGCTGGAGACGCTGAGGAGTAACAAGACGCTGGATCTTGGGGGCCTTGGTGTAGGGCTTTGCGCCCTCCTTCTTGGGGACGACTTCACGGCGAATGACGAACTTGCGGACCTACACACGCAATGATTAGTACTCAAACCTTCAAACTTTCTAGCTCACTTCTTGTTGCTCAGACTCAATGCGCTGCTTGTAGCAGGATGAGCGAGACTCAATCCGCTATGCGAAGCAGGATTGGCGAAGAAGCTATGAGAGAACTCACATCATCTTCCTTGCTGAGACCGAAGAAGCGGCGGATCTTGGTGGCGCGCTTGGGACCGAGGCGCTTGGGGTGGACAATGTCGGTCAGGCCGGGAATGTCCTCGTCGCCCTTCTTGACGATGCTGAGGGCAAGGACGGAGAGGTCCATGCCGACGATGCATCCGCGGACGGACTTCCTCTTGCGCTCACCAGTGCGGCGAGGGCGGTAGCAGGAGTGGCCGTCGGAGAGCAGGAGGCGGACACGGGTTGGGTGCATGACACCCTGCTTCATCGGGAAACCTTGCTTGTCGTTACCGCCGGTGATCTTGACGATGTATCCCTTGAACTCGTCGCCGATGCTGTCGGCGGGGACTTCCTGACCCATGCGGCGCTCCATGAAGACGCGGAGCTTGCGCTCATCGTCGACCTCGATCAGCTTCTGGGTGCCATTGTTGGGGTATGAGATGTTGAGCTTCATCTTGACTGCGGCGTCTCGACGGCGTGTGGAAGCTGCAACGTTAGTAGATTGTCGTGGTGTTGTCGGGGTCGTGGCCTGCGAAATTAGAATTATCGAAATGGGCCTTCGCTTCGTAGTGCGCGCTAATCGGAATGGAGATTATCACGTGCTAGCGCGACTTTCAGGTACGGCCCGCGGGCAACTGCGACCAACAACATGATGCGCCCCACCGGATGTGGTCGTTTTCACATCCTCGTGCTTTTAAAGTCAGGATCTCTCGTTATGAGAGGTTGGAATTTGCAGTACGAAGTCTCATGCTGAACTCTGCGCGGCACACAAGCAGTTCATAGCGAAGAGGCAGAGACATAGAGTACTTAATCAACACTTGCATTGCATTGCCAGAGTTCTGGCGTCGCAATCCCGGGCGGGCTCTGGCTTCGCAATCATAATTGACACAGCATACACATGTTCACGAGATAGACTGGAGCAGGCGAAGTAAAGTTGTGCTTTAACGTATTTGCGCTATTCGAACGGGATATCATACTATGCCATACCCATTAGACCCATTGCAACCAGAGTCCTACCAAAGGTATCCCCACTGAACTTAATACACATGCTATCATTCCTAACTCGAAATCGAGCCATCCCAAGAGGTGAACCACCAACGCCGGAACCATGCATTCGCAATGTCATTTGAGCAGATGATGCTTTTTGAAAACAGAAGGAAAGAAACACGGTGAAATCTGCACGACCGTCTAGTGCATGAGCTCGACCGGTGGCCTTGATGTGCTCACTGCTATGCCCTGCGCCTTCTGCGATGCGATCGGGCCCTCGACGCCCTCCATCGCATCGATGGGTGTCAACGGCTCAGGTGTCTCTGTTGTGTCTTCGACGGATATGGCTGGAAGGTTCGGCGAGTCACCGTGGTCTTCGGGGTGGTAGACAACAGTGGTGCTGCCAGTTCGCCTTCTTGTGATGGATGGGCCGCCGTGGTCGGTCGTAGGCGAAGTCGCATCGTGGTTTGCATGTAACCGGGCCAGCGCTGCCGCAAGGTCTTCCGGGTGTACAATCTTGTTCGGCGCATCCTCTTCCTTCATTTCCCAGCCCATGGGTGGTGAGGGCGGCGGCGAAATGAAGAATAGTCGGTCGGACTTTGGGAGGGCGAGGTGCTGGTCTGAGGGGTTCATGGGTGTGTTTACGCCGAAGTATACGCGGATGCGGTAGCCCATGAGCTGTTCGCCATCAAGGGCTTGTCGGACCTGGATCGCAGAGTCGACGTCGAAGAAGGATACTACGATGCGACGGAAAGACTTGAGCGGCGCCCATGTGTGTACTTTCGCATATTTGTCTACGGTTTCGCGGATCTCGGTGAGGGTGGATAGTGAGAAGATCTCGGGTGCGAGAAGATTCTAAACATTGTTAGTTTGTGCTCTTAGTTTTAAGGTGAGGAATACTCACGGTTATGATGAGTGTGTTTGAAGGAGGTGATGGCTCGACGAGCGGTGGGAGGTCTGAAAGGTCGAGAGAAAGTGGCGACTTGCTCCCCGATGACGCGCGGGAGCGCATTGGTGATGGAGGTAGAGTAGCCTGCATGTTTGCGATCATTTATGTTGCGCAAAGATATACTGTGATCTGTTGGTTGAGTTGCTGTGGTGAGTTGGAGGGCAAGAGACCGACAGCGTGTGTCTTATATCAAAGTTCGCCTTCAGCGGTTGGTCGTTGCAGCGCCCGCACGCAAGCCGCGACGGTTGCTCCGCCTCAATCCGCCAAGGCCAGACTCCGGCCATGCCATTTCCCGCGTCCATGTCCCATGTCTCTGCTTCTTTCGCGCCATTTCCTGGGCACCATTGCACTGCCCCGCCCTATTGCTCCCCAACGCACTGTGCTGCTGGAGGTCTCCGGACCTCGGCGGACGCGTCAATGATGGATTCAACTGACGATAGCACGAGACGCAGAAAGGAGAGGGCCTCAGCCTCGCTGATGCATAGTCGCTTGCCACTCAGCCTCATGTCCACGAAAGAAACATCTACCAGTGTCTCGCTGGTTCCACAGAACATCCTTTACTGACTATTCAAGCACCGAGTCCACTGTTAGTGTCCGGCTTATCCATGTTAGGACTACACAGCATGCATGCAATACCATCAAGGCCTTATCTCGTCCGACTGGGCATGTAATAGGTCATCACTCGGCGGCAGACTCGTTTATTGTCCGTCTGCCATAGGCATGCGATACGGCAAGGACAACTGTTCAACTCGGTCGGCTCATTTCGCAACACAGCCATAGGCGCTTTGCGCTTGAGGTTCTTTGTCGGCCAATAGTACCCTTCATGATTGGATTTTGTTGTGATGCTCAAGTCAGGCTTGGCCCATGGAAAATGTCTCATGTGTTCAACTGCAAGGCTGATCAAAAGCCATGCTTGTCTCGTGACTGTCTCGAGCTCCGCGTACGCCGGGCGCATCCACAAGTCTTGATGCGCACAACCGTTGTACATGTCTCCTATTTGGTGTGTACAGTCAACGCACGAGACGGTAGCTGCAGGTGATGCTATGACGACTCCGCCTTTGCGAAGTTTACGGTTTCCCTAGTAACTCTTAAGCATAGAACTCAGACGTCATCCAACCATTAATTTTGGTCTATGTGACCCTGCATGCAATTCTGCACTCGGCGTAATCTCGTCAGCTGCTGACCCGTATGACGATGCCACTGTCAAAGGTGTGGCTGGCTCTAGGTGTGGCGTAGATGCATGCGCCACACCTAGACGCTAGGCTGCTTCGCTCCCAGACTCACCTCAAAGAATCTCCATCAGGACGACAACCCTAGCCAGCACACCCCACACACGCCAACACGTCTCTCTCCGCCTCCGAATCCAGTCGCCCTAGTACCTCGGCTCCATCACGAGCCTCGCAAGCACACAGCCCTCTCCTCCCTGAAACGAGGACGCGATGGACTACGACCCAGATGGCGGCGCAATCAACGTGCGCTTCCTCCAGGTACACCGCCCGCTCCGTCTGCCCCAGGACACGTCGAGCTAACCCAGCTATGCGTAGGCCGACAGCCAGCGCGCCAACTTCATCGTCCAGAACTTCAATCTCGAAACCGCAAACTCGCTCCGCCGTGTGATGCTCGCCGAGATTCCCACCCTAGCCATCGACGTCGTAGAAGTGTTCGACAACACATCCGTCCTCGCCGACGAGTTCGTCTGCCACCGTCTCGGCCTCATTCCTCTGTGCTCCAAAGGCGTAGAAGAGCTGCTGTACTCGCGCGACTGCGACTGCGAAGGCTACTGCGACAATTGCGCCGTCGTTCTCACCCTCAACGCGAAATGCACAGGCAGCGAGATCATGAAGGTGTACGCGCGGGATCTGGTGATTGAGTCTCGGGCACCAAATGAAGAGTTGGGGAAGCCGGTCATCACTGATTCAGAAGAGACGGGTAGTTGCATCGTCAAGTTGAGGAGAGGCCAGGCGATCAACATGAAGTGCATCGCGAAGAAGGGTATCGCAAAGGAACACGCAAAATGGGCACCTAGTGCAGCCATCGGCTTCGAGTACGATCCGGCGAATAAGTTGCATCACTTGGACTACTGGCACGAGGAGGATGCGGACAAGGAGTGGTATGTTTCGTCTAAACCATCCGAACATTGTGTAACAGCACGTCTCTAACAGATATCCAGGCCCAAGGACGAAGCGCGCATAAACCTCGACGGCGGACCTCCCAACCCCGACGAACCCTTCAATTTCGACGCTGCCCCATCACGCTTCTTCTACGACGTCGAAACAGTCGGCGGTCTCGAACCCGATGAAATCGTTACACAAGGCATCGCCATCCTGCAACGCAAACTCGCCGAGATCATCAAAGAATTATCTGGCGGCGTCGGAGGCCCCGAGGACTTTGGCGGCGCGCAGAGCCCAACACTGAACGGTGCTGGATACGGTGATGCGGGCGGATATACTCCTGTTGGGGGAGGCGGATACGGAGGAGCGAGCTCGTGGGGCGGTGCGGCACAAGGAGGAACTACGCCATATGGAGCAACGCCTTACGGGCAGTCCAATTGGTAGACGAAGAGAGTGGCGTGTTTGGGTGTACAACATTGCATGGGCCTGGCGTTCTAAAAGGTGTGGGCATCAACAGACTGCAAAACTGCTCAAAAGAGACGCAGTCCTTCTTCACATATTGGCATCTATCACGAAAATAAGGACACTTTGCGAATCGCTATCGAACATGAGTTGATGCGAATGGCATTGGTATCTCTGCTAGCTCAAAGAGCTGCCTTCTTTTGCTCATGGTTCGTCATATCTAATATTACAATATACGCAAAGCCATTTCGTCATCATGCTTGCTTCAACTTTTCCAAGATGCGTCTGAGAGGGGAATATGTGTACACAAATGTACCTCGTGAATTGACACGAAAACGCCATGCCCCCAATGTACCGTGCCAGATCAAAGCAGCCAACCTTACAATGGAGCCGAACCGAAGTAGTCATACACATGCGAAGAAGATCGTGGCGACAGCGACAGAGGTCCTGGTTCGCGTAGAATGAAGCTCATATTGCTTCTAATGATGTCGGGTTTAAGCGTTCTTTACAACGCCAACCTTGGCCGGTCGCAGTGTCCGGCCGTTGAGCTTGAAGCCCTTCTGCTGTGTGTGGAAGCAAGTTCCGTCCTCCTTGTCCGGCTGCGGCGCTTGGAAGACCGCCTCGTGGATGTTGGGGTCGAACTTCTCGGCCGCCTCGCTGGGGTCGAATCGCTCCAGACCGTGCTTCTTCAGCGTGTTGATGAGGATGGTGTCGGTCATCTTGATGCCGTCGTGTAGGGCAATGAGGTCGGTGTTATCCCCCTTGAGCTTCTCTTCTGGCACGGTGCCAAGGGCGCGGTCGAGGTTGTCGACGGATTCTACGAGGTCGCGGGCGAAGCGCTGGATGGCGAAGTCTTTAGCGGCCTTGATTTCGCGCTGGGTGCGCTCTTGGAGGTTGCGGAAGTCGGCGACTGAGCGGAGGTACTTGTCCTGCGGAGGCATGTTAGTCTGCTGCTGTTATGCATCTGGGCAGCGTTGAAGCATACCTTCAAGTCGACGATTTCCTTGTCCTTCTTCTCTAGCTGCTCCTTCAATTGTGTTGCCTCATTGTTCTCTGCGGGCGCATCCTCCTTCTTCTCGGCAGCCTCGCCCTCCTTTGCTGGTGCAGCATCTGAATACCACCGGATAGCGGGCGTCGCGACTGCTCGTGTGATGGGTGATTGTTGACGTAGTGGCGCAAAAGGCCGTATTGAGCGGGCAGCCTGCTGTCTTGAGGCGCGGAGGATGGTTCTTTGCAACATTGTGTGGTATGAAATGTGGAATGAAGCAGAGGATGCACGGTTTATGCGAAGGCGATAGTGTAGCTCAGGTGGATGCGATGATGATGAAGACGTTCGAGAAAAATTCGGAGCTGTGAGTGACGAATGCCTGTGCTTCCATCAGGGTCCAATTCTTTCCGTTCCGAGGCGGACCCTTTCCGAACAATTTGCCATCCGGCGATCGCATACGCCTTTGACATGCATCTCGACAAGTCAATGCCATGATGCGTGATGCGTCCTTCGCCAGTCTTCTCCTTGCGTATACGCTCGTTTGTCTCGCGACATGACGTCGTCCCGGCATCTGCGACAGTCCAGAAACCTATTGAGGCGGCCTATTACCGCGGGGGTACATCGCGAGGCGTAATCCTACAGCCGCAAGCCTTGCCTAAAGAGCGCGCAAGATGGCCGACCATATTCCGCCAGATCATGGGGAGTGGTGATCCCTATGGGCGGCAACTTGACGGCATGGGTGCGGGCATATCAAGTCTGAGTAAGATATGTCTCGTAGAACCCTACGGGAGGAGAGTGGCTTTGCCCGAGAGAGCCACTCGATTTCGAACAGGCTTTGGTGGTATTGATGCAGCTCGTAAAAGCGCGCAGGCTGTACAAGCTGCAGCGGCTCTGGAAGAGGCGGGATTGGCCGGGGATGAGCCAAAGTTGAACATTGATTACACATTCGTCGGCTTGGGCATTGAAGACGATGAAGTCGACGTCGCAGGCAACTGTGGAAACATGAGCAGTGCAATTGGCCCTTATGCTTATAACGCCGGTCTTCTCCCATCAAGTGCATACGCCCAGGGAGACGGAGAGGTCACAGTCAAGATACGGAACACCAACACTGGAAAGCTGATCGACTCTACTTTCGAAGTCATTGGAGCGCAAGCTGCTGTCGCGGGTGACTACAGCATTGACGGCGTTACCGGAAAAGGCTCAAAGATCAGATTGGATTTCAAACGTCCATACGGCAGCAAAACTGGCAGAGTGCTACCTACTGGCAGGAGAGTGGACAACATTGGGGGCTACAGAGTATCGTGCATAGATGGCGCGAACCCAGCGGTCTTCGTCCGAGCAGATGATGTCGGAGTGGATGGTACCATCCTACCCGACGACTTCAACAACCTTCAGGAAAAGCTTGCTTTGCTCGAAAGCATTCGCAAAGCCGCTGCCGTCGTCATGGGTATTGCATCTACAGAGGATGAGGTTCCTCGTACCGTTCCCAAGATCGGCATCGTATCACAATCATCTGCGCACCCCGTCCTGTCAGGGAACACCCTCAAGGCATCACAGATGGACATTGTCGTACGTTTTCTCTCAGATACACAGCCTCATCGAGCTATTCCTTTGACTGCTGCACTGACGACAGCCGTCGCGGCGCGCATCCCCGGAACAGTCGTCGAACAGATGCTTGCTCCTGAGCCTTTGATGGAGGGCGCCATCACCATAGGTCACGCAAGTGGTCGACTGCAGGTCAACGCCACAATGGATCCAAGGAACAAGCTCATCCCCGCTAGTGGTACGGTATACAGAACCGCGAAGAGGCTGCTCGAAGGAAATGTATTCTGGGCCGACAAATTTGGGGAGACGGAACTGAGGGAAGACACTACTGAAACCAATACCACCTATGGTAGTAACGGCCGACACTCTCTTGGGCTAGCTTTCGTTCTGGAGAACCGCGGTAAAGATTCATCCCACCTCTTCGAAGAAGACGTCGCACGTGCAAAGCAACAAGAATCGGACATGGACCAAATCATAAGCCAACAACCGACTCTAGAGCAGATTGAAGAAAACGAGCAGAAAGAGGAGCCCGAGGTCCCGATCCTAGTTTACAGACCCCTCCCCGACCCGCACAGGAAGCGACGCGACCTACGGGAAATACCCAAAGAAGAAGATGCCCTCACACTCGCCATCCAAGGCCTACACTCCGAACTCACCGGACTGCTGCACGATGAAAAGATCATGGACACCACGGAACAGAACTCCAACCTTCTCGAAGCTGTCCTCAGGGCACACCGTGACATACAAATCAACTCCCTGATCCAAAGGCGTTCAGCCGAGAAGGCTAGCGAGAAGGCGAAGAAATCTGTGGTTCGGAAAAGTAGAACTCGTGCACAGAAGGTTACAGCGGGCGGGAAGTTGAGATGGGAGCATGTGGAAAGGGCAATCTCCGCCCGCGTTACGGAGCAGGCAAGAAAGAGGGTGGAGAGTTGGGGGAGAACGGAGAGGACGGATACTGATGATGTGGATGAACATATGGGGGAGAAAGTGGAAAGGAATATGGCGCCCCAAGATGATGGCGATGAACAACAGAAGACGGAGAGATCGGTGAAAGAAGACATGGAGGAATGGATGAGGAAAAAGCAAGACGAGGAGCAGAAAAGGTCGTTTAGAGATGACATGGAGGGATGGGAGAGGAGCCAAGAAAAAGAGGAGGAGGAGGAGAGAAGGATAAGGAGAGAAGCCTTGGACGAAATCCTGAGCAACCGCGAAAAGGGTGACACTTCGATGTTTAGTATGGACCCGGAATTTGCTTTGGCGGAGCGAGAGCCGTGGAAGAGGACTCCTAGAGATGTAGGACCGAAGATTACCACATACCCCGTTAAGACGGCGAAAATGAAGGCAAAGCGGATGAAAGCTTTATACCGTAAGCCGAGGTCGTGGAATTCGAGATGACGGGATGAGAAGAAGAGTACAGGTTGCAGCTTGTGCCATTTGCGAAGATTGGTCAATAGTAACAGACAGGAGAAGACCTCGATTGTAATTCAGAACCAAAATTCTTGATTCCCAGACTAGGAATTAGTCTGCTCATCTCAACCTATATCCCCATCCATTCCCTGAAGACTTACCTTACCTACCTGATAATCGTGCCCTGCCTTTCAATACCGCCAGCATAAGGCCCCTCAAGGATATCACTCCCGCCTAACAAGCCCATCGAGCCACCACCCAGCAAGCCGCCTGCGCCCATACTACCCCGTCGATCACTCCATATCTCGTGGAACCGAATCGCCATATCACTCGCGGCCACAACAATGCAACCTTCCTCAACACCTCTCCGCGACCACACCCCGTCTTCACCCCTCGCCCTCCCACCATCACGATCGTCGTCTGTCTGCGGACCGCTCGTGGGACCACCTGGGTAAGCGACTGCACACAACGCGCGATTCTCGTCGTACCACGGGACGGCAACGACTTGTTCGCAGCTGGGCCAGGCGAAGACGGCGACACGGTAGGGGTGTTCGGGTTGCGCGAAGCCGAAAGTTGCTGCGATCTCGCGGCGCGTCTGGGACCAGATGAGACTGGTAATTTGAGCTGCGCAGTCGATGGTCGCAAGACAGGTGCCGGAGCGGGTGTGGTAGAAGTGGATGCAGCGGTCGTTTGAGCCGCCCCCGACGGCTAGGAGTCCGCGTTGCCAGGGGCAAAAGGCCATGGCTTTTACGGCGGCGTTGAGCGTCCATGTGTGTTTTGCGGCTGATTGCGCGAGATGTAGGACGGCGTTGTTGCTACGGTTGGTTACGGTGTAGATGGATTCGCCACGGGGACCTTCGCGGACGTCTAGGATTGCTGCTGTGTTTTCGCTTGCGGGGTTCGATCGGAGCACCTTCTTCGTTTCGAAAAGATTGCAGTTGTTGTCGTTCCCCCCACTCGCGAAAAGCTCACCGTCGGACGACCATGCTAGACCACAGATCTGTTGGCTGTGGATTGAAAGTCGAGCCAGCAGGGTCATGGCGCCAGTCCAACCGAAGAGTTCACTGTGTGTCTCTGACGGCCATTCTACACTGTAAAAGTAGATGTGACCGACTTCGTCCCCGATGAGCAACTCCTCAGTCGATACAGTCATTGCTCTATCTCGGAGAGAAGGGCGTTGCACAACAGTCGGTCTCCAGGATACACACGATACAGGCTTGGGTTGAGTTGCATCGAATCGTGGCTCAGCATCCAGTGGGCTCCATAGCAAGATGCGGCCATCGGCTCGTCCCACAGCAAGGATCGCTTGACCGCCTGCTGTAGAGGAAAAGTCTAAGGATGTGACGTGCTGAACATCTGCGGGACCGTTTGGCGGCACAGCGTTCAGCGAGTCTGGCGTGTTGACACCGTTTCTCTCAGACCAGAGATGAACAAAATTTCCTAGGCCGACAGCCAGACACTTGGAGGTGTAGGAATATGCGAGTAGGGTACAGTAGTAGTCGTCGCGGAGGTTAGGGGCATCGAGAACTGTGAGCGGAGTCAGTATTGAGAAGTATCGGGAATCAGAAGAACATATCGAAAAGGCAAGATCGGCACCGGTCTTCGCTTTGGTGGTGTCTGGCGGGGACCTTTCATCTCAGATTAGCAGCGAAACTACATTTGGAGTCCATAGCAAATGAGAACAAACTCGAAACGACTCCGTCCCTAGTCCAAGCTCCGTCTCGCCAGACATGTTTTGCCTGCGATGCAGGACCACTATGTGGTGAGCTCGACGACACTGGAGAAGATGAGTGTTGGAGGATGCGATCAGTCGGGTCAATGTCGAGCGCCAGTGCGAGACGTCTTTCGTAGGCTTCAAGTTCGGCATCGGGATCTGCTCGGTTCAGGAAAGCCGATTTGTACAATGGCGCGTTTGTTCCACTCCCAAGCATTCCACCTCTACCAGTGGAGACTGCTACTACTGTGTCACTCACAGCAGAAGGCCCACCAACATTCCAGACAGCGCCAGCGCTGATCTGGCGAGTACCCAGAGGTAGAGGGGTTTGTCTGAAGTTGACGTTTCTTCTGTTTGCATTTGCCCGGCCTGAAACTACAGAGTGTGCCTCCCTGAGGCCGCGTAGTTCTTCGTTCATACGGCCACTTCTGCGCAGTCGGCGACTGAAAGCATCTGTTCCTGTACGTATGCCACGATTCGTGTTCTGTTCCTTGTTCCGACGCTCCGCAGGGCTGTTGAGCTCGAAGCTTTCTCGTGTGATAGTGGGTGGTCGGCGGCAAGCGATAAAACGATCTGGTGTACTTGTTTGGGGTTGACGAGGTGATGCTAGCAAGCCACCTCGTGCTTGCCATTGACTGGATCTGAGGGGAGAGCTGGCATAGCGCAAGGGAAGACGGCGAAGCTTGGTGGGCGGAGAACTGTCGTCAGCAGAGATGTCAACGCAGCCTAAGTGCGGTAGATTTGGTCTTTCGAACGTAGTGACTGTATCTGTTGGAATGAGTGAAGGAGATACTGCGCGGCTTGCATTTTCAACTATGCTGTCCGAGGAACTGCGATTGCTGCGTCGTCGCTTGCTGGAAGAGGATTCATCTCGAAGCGGGTTGAGGTCGCAAGGTACCGGCACAGATACGTGATTAGTCGGACTCAGGTCTGGAGTTGACAGCGCTTCAAGACGAGAGAGAAATTTGGACTTGGACTTCCTAGGAGAAGACAATGGAGTTGAGCAATGACTGGTAAAGCCGCTGTCGATATCCCTGAAGAAGAGGCAGCTGCGACTTTTGCGCGGAGACTGAGGCGTCCGAGGTGATGCCCAGCCCTCGGTACTGACAGTCTTCGTAGGAGACAGCGGCGGTGTGAGATAGCCGGACCGAGACAGAGATGCTTCGTCACCAGTGTCGCTCATGTTGGAACAGCTTGTGTCAAGATGAGTGGACTGGGGGACTGAGCTGTGAACTTCAGCGCATGTGAAGCTGTCTGAAGGAGAGGAGCTAGGAGGCCGGAGACCGGGTGCTGCCTGATGTCCCGGTGTTATTGCTGCTGGGTTAGTAATAGCAATGGCTGCTGAAGGTTGCTTAGGATGTTTGGAGCATCTATAGGGTTGGCGGATGCGGCTAGTGGTGACGGCAACCTTCCGCGAGGGATGACGGAGGGGCAGGGGCTCCACGCGTGTAGTGGGGCAACATTCCGCCGAGGCTGCAACTCGAGGAAGCAACGCTGAAGCCTCCGAGACAGCGCAGAAACATATGGCAAGCGTAAGTTGACTTTACAATCGCTCGGAAGATCCTTGCTGACAAGTGTAGCACGGTATATCGCGCGGGTCTGGCCCGGTCGTCCGCTCAGAAGAAGCACGGCAGAAGGAGCTGCGACAGATCACAAACTACAAAGATTTGGCGGATCTGGTGAACACAAAGGTATTGCAGCCAGGAGAAGCATTCATTGGATTCAGCTGACAGTCGCTTCTCAGGTTGCCGAGAAGCAATATACGATCGAAGTTCTGGGCCTAGTCACGAAACTCTTGAACGAGAATCCTGAATACTACACGATATGGAATCACCGAAGACGCGTCTTGATGGCTCTGGTGACCGCAGACACCCCCGAACAATCACCAGACGAACTCTTGCAGGGCGACCTGCAGCTCACATTTGCGCTATTACGAAAGTTCCCCAAATGCTATTGGATATGGAATCACAGAAACTGGCTGTTGCGCGAAGGCGAAGCGCTGATGGGCGCGGATGCAGCACGTAAGCTCTGGTCAGGAGAATTACAACTCATAAACAAGATGCTGCACGCAGACAGTCGCAACTTCCATGCTTGGGGCTACAGACGATTTGTGGTGTCGCAGATTGAGCGTCTGACCACATCCGAGGATGTTCCCGCATCAGGACCAGCACAGAAGAGCCTCTCCGAATCTGAATTCGAGTACACGACCAAGATGATCAAGACCAATCTCTCCAACTTCTCCGCTTGGCACAACCGTAGCCAGCTTATCCCCAAGATCCTCCGCGAGCGCAACGCAGACGCTGAGGCGCGCCGTGTATTTCTCGACTCAGAACTAGCCCTGATTTGCGAAGCCATAAACACCGACCCCTTCGACCAGTCCATATGGTTCTATCACCAATACCTCCTCTCCATATTGTCACCGTCGTGTCCGCCGGATGCGCTTGTCGTCCAGGACCTGAGCAACGGCGAGCGGCAAAAGTACTACGAGCACGAGATGGAGTACATCAGGGACATATTGGAGGACGAGGCGGATTGCAAGTGGATATACGAAGCGCTGCTCGGGCTTGCAGAGGCTTATTTGGAGGTAGATGCTGGGACCGGGTCGTTTACAACGAAGGATATGAGGTCGTGGCTAGACGAGCTGAAGCGTCTGGACCCGCTGCGGCGGGGACGATGGAACGATCTCGAGCGTAGGCTGAACCTATGAAATCCATTATGGTAGCATTCAAGGCTTGCTTTTGGGATTCTCCACACTACTCGTTGCAGTCGCAGGCGCGGCTTCCGTCTTGTTGTCCTTCTTCCATGCCCAGAGCCCAAGCACGTTTGACCACGAGTTGTCGGCAGGAGCGGAGGCCACAGCTTCCTCTTTCTGAGCCTGTACTTGTGCGGAAGGTGGGGGTGCTACAGCACTCGATGCTACGGGGATGGGATTCGGGGTGCTGGAAGCATTTGCAGCGGCGAGTTCCCTGACACGAATGTTAGTGAAAGCGACGAAAGTACCTGTGGAGTCAGCGTACCGTTTGTACTCCTCCTCCATCCGTGCGATTCGCTGTTTCTTGAACTCTCCATCAAACGTAGCCACACCAATTGACACACCAACGATAGTTGCCAACGCGACTGGAAGAATACGTCCCGCCATTTCGTGTGTTCGTTGCGTGAAGTGACTGTGGATGAGACTGGCGTGTATGACGAAAGCACTCCCGCGGGCAAAAAGTTGAGCCCGCCGCCGTCGCCAGCACGCGCTAAGCGGAGCACGGGACGACGCGCCATGCCT